TACGCTTCACTCATGCTAATGTTAATCTGCAATATGAATCAATTTATATTCGATTCATAGGTTATACACACAGTGTTTTATTTTTACTTTTGATTAATCTATTTCGGTAGTAGGGCAGTTAAATAGTAAGTTTATTTAATTTGTATATTTTTTCTATTACATTTGTCTATTGTTTGTAATATATGCTTATTTGTTCCTATTTTTAACATCAAAAATAAAGTATAATTGCGGGCCTTGCTTTATTACAGAAGAGTGTGTGTTAAGAGTGTAGCTGCTTAAGGAACACGCGAGTGTTTGGGCCTTTAGCTTATTCCCCGTGTCCCCAGAGTTACAGAAGTCCACACACACACACACACACACACACTTCTCCTCTCCGTAACTCTGTCTGACGCACACACCGCTAGCCTAGCTTAGCACAAAGACTGGAAGTTAATGGCTCCAGCTAGCATACTGCTCCCAATAAGTGACAAAATAACAATAACATGTTGTGATTTGTAGTCACAGTGTGTTCAAATAGCAAGGTCACATGAGACACAGGCATCTTCTAACCGTATACATACTGGGAACTATATAGTGATTAGCGCAACACTTATTGGGAGCAGTATGCTAGCTGGAGCGGTGGATGAATGTGATGAATGTGGATGATGTGTGTGTGATGAAGTGTGTGTGTGATGCAGGACTCACCCGCCGGTCGGACGTCACCAGCCGGAACTCCTGAGCACACTTGCCCAGCACGGAGCGGTGTGTTCTGCGGAAGGGGTGGATGGTGCCCTGAGGACAGACCAGAGAAAACTACATTACCCACAATCCCCACACACACAGTGCCCTGAGGACAGACCAGAGAAAACTACATTACCCACAATCCCCACACACACCGTTACCGTGGGAATAGTGTTCTGTGAACTCCCATGGAGCTTTGCTAATGACAAAACCCAGTAACACCAGTCCTGATCCACTGCCATGTGCACGTTTGGGTCGGCACGGTGATTTTATTACTTTGTTTTGAAAGAATTTAATACTTTTATTCATCAAGGACGCACTAAATCGATCAAAAATGACAGTTGAGATATTTATAATGTTACAAAAGATTATATTTCAAATAAATATTTCACTTAATCAAAAACTCCTGAGAAATAAAATTTGTCACAGTTTCCACAGAAACATGAACTGTTTTCAACACTGTTAATAATCATAAATGTTTCTTGAGCATCAGATCCTCATATTAGAGTGATTTCTGAAGGATCATGTGACACTGAAGACTGGAGTAATGATGCTGGAAAATCACAGGAATAAATTACACTTTACTGTATATTCACTATATTAAAACTTTTTTTTTTAAAAACTAAACAAATGTTTTTCAAATCCAAGAACTTGGCAAAAGTTTTCATGATATTTCCCCTTTAACGTGAACATTGATAACGCGTGACGTCACATGTGATGTTATGATGAGCTCCACATCATATTTCACACATATATGAGCGAACATGAGTCTTACCAGCACATATGTGTCCGTCTCGTGCTTCTTTCTGTGCCCTGGAGCCTCTGAAGATGAAAATGAAACAGTTATTGATATTCCACAGACAGTGTGAGAGAAAGCGCCCGAGAGAAGCTCTCACCCGAGTCCTTGATGCCGAGCACGTCCAGCACCACCATATCGGGTTTATCCGAGGGCGACACTTTCCTCTCGGTGACCCCGGACGGCACTACATCGGGCTTATTGCTCAGCTTTCGCCCGTAATAATCAGAAACATGACTGTGATATGGGTTATTATGAGCCATAACTGACGTGGACGAGCCGTCCAGCGCCATCTTTACTTCCGCGGAACGTCCTACGTCACGACCTGATCACATGCTCCACGACAGCCAATCACAGCGCTGCTAGTTATTTACTCGGTTAACATCATAAACATTGAACTACTTTATAAAACAAAACATAAATGAGAGAGATTAAAAACACAGAGGAGGATAAACCAGAGATATTTTTGGTGACACGCTACAATAAGGTTAATTAATAGTTAATGTAACATGAACTAACCATTTGTTTCTGTATTTGTTAATCTTTGTTAAAGTTAGTTAATAAAATACAGCTGTTCGTTGTTTGTTATATTTCACAGTGCATTAACTAATGTTAACAAGATTTTAATAAAGTATTAGTAAATGTTGAAATTAGCATTTACAAAGATTAATAAATGCTGTATACGTGCAGTTTATTATTAGTTCATGTTAAATAATGTAGTTAACTAATGTTAACTAACGAACTTTATTGTAAAGCGTTATAGATATTTATATATAGATAAAGATTTTTTTAATTTAGTTACAGGGATACAGGTGATATTTTTTTAAGTTATCTACATAAACAACGTTTATTTGAATAAAATCAATGTAATTGATGAACGTGACCAGGATTAATTGTTAAATTTGCTGATTTAACTTTATTATTTATAAATTTGCGTGACTTCATATTTGACAGGAGTACATATTGACGCCGGAAATTGCGTCATCGGCGTATCTGCGCATGCGTGACTCTGTCCTCTAGTCTAGTCTCAGCGGTTAGCTGCGGTAAAGCGCGTAGCAGTGTTTACTTTTGCACGACCTGAGTTCATATTCATATTCATCACTGTATAATTCGCTTGTTGACGATGGCAGGAACTCTTGCACGTAAAGCCGTGGATCATCTCCGCAGTAAAGAGTTCAGAGAGTATCTCATGAGGTCAGTCACTGTGTTTCTCAATAGTGCTGAGGTAAATAATGCCGATGTTTGGGAGTTATTACACGGAATGCAGTGAAATGACTCGCAGCCACACACACAGACTGCTGTTATGCTCATAATAAGCAGAAAACTGCAGTTTATCGTGTGAAGGACGTGATCTGCAGTTCCGCGGTACGCCTCCAGAGGGCGACAGACCCGCGTCATCACAGCGTCACGACAACAGTCCAGAGTCCAGCGGACACTCATGAACGCTTCGTCATCCGTCGAGCTGTATTTCACGGGTTTTATCTAATTATAAACCGCACAGGTCATCATTGCTGTCACACGTCAATCTCTGCATATTCACGTTGTTACTATATTTTCATTCCAGAGGTTTAACGCCAGGAATGTGTCTTCTCATCGACTTCTGCTGTTACGACACAATACACTTCTTCTGATTATAGGTCTGAAGTCTGATCTAGGGTTGGTCTCTTTCTAAAGCCACAATCAACAGAAGTGAACATAATAGAAGTAGTAAAGCAAATGTGCTGAACTAAACATTTTTATTTTAATCAAAATATTTATAATGCAAAATAATTTGGACTCTAAAATTGCTAGAAAGTCAAACCCTTTTGTCTAAGTTGTGTTCCAAATTTAAAGTTGATACCACAAAATGTTTGCCGCGAATAGTTTTAAAGTGAGATTTGTTGACGGCGGGGGGGGGGGGGGGGGTTGGGGGTTGGGGGAGAGCGAGACCTCTACGCGGTTTGGAGCACAATCTCTGTCTCGCATGCACGCTCGCTCTAGATAACGGGAGATTTTTAACGAATTTGCGGTATAACTAGTCGATCACGAGTGGCTCAACAGGTAGATATATAGATAAACTCATCTTCAAGGCATTTGACCGCCCGGGTTGACACTTCAGCGTGAGAAATCGGGAGTGTGGCGTGTGAGCGTGTGAAACCAATCAAATGCGGGTGTCTCACGGCCAATGCGTGAGAGTTGGCAGCTATGTGCATATGTTCACTCATATTACATGTTTGCAGGTGTTTCTTGACAGTGACGTCGCCCCCTACTGGCCTGACATGCGTAATACAGCCGCCTTAGTCATGGCGCAGATCCGTGTGAACGGGATTGTTGTGACATCAGTGTCATCTGCTTTCAGTTCATTGTTGTCATGTAAACATACCCTAAATCAAAAGGCCATATGAAGCGGGGCGTTGACTATAAAGAGGCTGATTCATTCCCCAGTTCTCTTTAGTGAATCATCTTAGGGCACGTTTACTCGACAACGATGAACTAAAAACGGAAACGTTTTTCCTTTGCGTTTTTCACGTACAGACGACAACATTGTCAAATCGATCCTCGTTCACACGGATCCGCGAAACGAGTAGAATCGCTGTATTCTGCTGCCAGGCCAGTAGGTGGCGCTGAAACACTGCAGACTGAACACGTAACACGCGTGTGCATGACATCACCGTCTTCACAGATTTGCGTTTTTGTTGTTTACATGGAGACGAAAACAATATAGTTTTCAAAAACTTGCACTTTGAAACCTGTTTTTAAAAGCCAAAACGCCGTTGTCGTGTGAATGAACGGCTAAAATGTTTTTGGTTTTAGTTGTAAGCGCTGGTGTGTAAGCGCTGGTGTGTGTAAGCGCTGGTGTGTAAACGGCCTTGAGTAAAAGTGTTACCCTAGGGCCATTTCTTGTCTTTGATTATTATTTGTGAGCAACCAGACACTTGATATTGTGCATTGCTGATCTTCTATGGAATATGTTTTATTTTGTTTTAACTTCTTGTTCCCGCCGGACCTGCTCTTCCCGTGGGATCGCCCCCTCAGCACGGTAAGTCCTCAGCATTAGGATATCTTATGATTATGATGATCATGATGATCCTGATTGTGTCTCCTGTCCGCTCAGCACTTCTGGGGTCCGGTGGCCAACTGGGGTTTGCCCATCGCTGCCATCAGTGACATGAAGAAGAGCCCCGAGATCATCAGCGGCAGGATGACCTTCGGTAAGAGCTGGACCATATTCTGATGTTTGATCCAGTCTGACCTCTGACCTGTAGTGCTCCTGAATCATGATCACACACTGTTCGCTCGTTGGCCAGAGGAACTGAGACTGAGTCTGGGTTCTGCCAAGGGTTTCCTCCATTCTGCCACTGATGGAGTTCTGGTTCATCTGTCACTTTTGGCTGCTTAGTCTGGGACATTTCATTTAATATTCAGCAATATTATTGATCTCCTGCATTGACACCATTATATGAGAACTGAACTGAGCTGGACGATGACATCACTGTTTTCTCCAGAGAGATACTATACTGCACTATACTATATAAATGAACTGAATTAATACATTTTTTCCAACAAAAAGGAGCCATCCCTGAACTTACTTAAAGGGATAGTTCACTTTGAAATTAATTGTTGGTGTGTTTTAGCTTACCTCTAGGGCATCCAAGATGTTGGTGTCTTTGTTTCCGCAGAAGTTTCAATTTTGATATTTTTAGGTCAAACCGTTCTTGTCTGTCAGTCATACAATACAGGTCTATGGTCTCCACCTCAAAGAGCAGCACAGAGAAGTCCAAATTAAACATGATTTAATGACTCGTAAATGTAAGTACACATTGATGGCCTAAGACACGAAACGAGCGGTTTGTGAGAGAAAACGAACAGTATTTATACCGTTTTTACCTCTTGTAAACACAGCCACGTCCAAGTGATCTGAGGGCGCCGGCGCTTCGGTCTGTGACGCTATTCTCTTTAACAAACTTTGTTGCATTATTTTCCTGTTATCTCTGTAAAGTACGGCTGTAACGATACACCAAACCCACGATTCGGTTCTATCACGGGGGCGGGGCTTGGGGGTGAAAAAAGAACGATTTTGAGAGAAAAAAATATATCTTTATTAAATAACATTTGAAAAACCTGTATAAACTGAACACAAAAGAACAATATTAACTATGCAAATTATTCAACTAAGCTAGGCAGTGTAGGCTGCTGCTTTTGGGTTGTTGTCTGTGCTCCAACTAAACTGATTTCGGGATGGTGCCGACGTGCCGTGAGATATGCATCTGCATGTTGGACGTGTTGCCGGTCATTTGAGAAAGCTTCTTTAAACACTTCAGGCAAACCGTGTGGGTCTTGATTTAATTATAGAATATCAAATAGGTTGTGCGATTATTGACTAAAAAAATCTCCATGTTTTTGGTGCTGAGGAGTTCATGTAACATGTAAGAGTGGCGCTGCCAATAAAGCACCTGTCACAAAGAACCGGCAAAAGTAATGATTATGAATATGTCAAACAAGGAGACATTTTAATTGTTTATTAATAAAGAAGTGTTTCTGTCAGTGTTGGCTCACTCGGCTGGATAAATGAAGTAGACGATGCTGACTCGCGATCTTCGCAGCAGTGTACGCGCCAGAGAGAAATGCACTTTTCATACGGATTACATAAGCAGAGTCTGTTTTCTTTCGTTTTAAATTGTTAAACGCAGGTGTATTTCCCTCATATTAAATATAAAACGCATGTGTTGACTTATATTTTTCTAATGTCTGGACTCCTTTATTAAGGGAGTATGGATATATAAACAGAAGTTTCAATACATTGGTATTAAATGCATTTATATTTCAAGTTTTGACTGCAAATGTCACGTGCATAACGCTGAAATTGCCCAATTTTAAATAATTTATCCTCAACTAGTTTTGTGATGTTGGTCTACGGATTTTATAATGTTAACTTCAAATAATACTAATAGTAATTTAAAGATGTGGTAGCATTGGATCTGGACGGGAAGGATAACTCTGGGAGGTGGTGTGTCGCGATTCTGCCTTCTCACAGCGCGACACAGGATCGTGGATCTGAGTATCGCGATTTCGGTTTTATATCGCGTACCGTTACAGCCCTACTGTAAAGCTGCTCTGAAACACTCTGTGCTGTAAACGCGCTGTATAAATAAAGCTGACTTGACTATGGCCTCGTTTACACTGTCAGTGAAATGTGACCCAATTCTGATGTTTTGCTCATGCGACACAGATCGCATGTGTTCTATGACCGTGTAAACAGGAAAAAAACGCATGCATTCGGATATTTCGAGACCGGTTTCAGGCCTCGTTCATATGTGGAAATAAATCAGATATGTGCCAATGCGCCTCATGTACACAGGCAGATCGGGTTTCCTGAGGCATTAGGCTAGTCTCCGCGGTTTAATGGCGAGAGAAACCCCGACGCGCCTCTGCGGATGGACGGATGGCCGATGAAACAGTGTGTCGTCGTAGGAGAGGAGTGTGGACACACGTTGACACAACACATCAAAGGTTGGCTTGCTCATCCTAAAATTTCGGACCCACTGCTCCTCGTTAAAGCCCGCCACGACCTCATGAAACTGCGCTTATTGCACGAATTTTTTTTTCACATGCCATTTACGGCAAAAATTGTTTTTGCGTGCGTATGATACACACTTTATGCCGTTTAATACGCACGTGTACAGTGCGTATCATATGCAAGCAAAAACTATTTTTGGCGTATAAATGGCACGAGAAATAAAATTTGTGCTATAGATACTCCCTTTTATGAGATCGTGTTGTATGTTCCCACCAGTCCTGAGATCTCACGCGCGCTCGTCCACCTGTGCAAGAAGTCACATGACTTGTGTAAACACATGACTCGGATATGGGTCACAATTTAAAGAATGTGTAAACGGACGGTCAAAAAAATCGGATATAGGCAACAAATCAGAATTGGGCATCAAGACCTGAGTGTAAACGAGGCCTGAGAGACACCACAGTGTGCAACAGACAGGCTCTGTGAGGTCAAAGGTGAACTCTGGCTCTGTGAGGTCAAAGGTGAACTCTGGCTCTGTTGTGAGGTCAAAGGTGAACTCTGGCTCTGTTTCTCCAGCTCTGACGTGCTACTCGTTGCTGTTCATGCGCTTCGCCTATAAGGTCCAGCCGAGGAACTGGCTTCTGTTCGCCTGCCATCTGACCAATGAGACGGCCCAGCTCATCCAGGGCAGCAGACTCATCCGATACAAGTACGGTTATTACCCATAATGCCTACTGTAAATACAGACTCATCCGATACAAGTACGGTTATTACCCATAATGCCTACTGTAAATCCAGACTCATCCGATACAAGTACGGTTATTACCCATAATGCCTACTGTTAATCCAGACTCATCCGATACAAGTACGGTTATTACCCATAATGCTTACTGTAAATACAGACTCATCCGATACAAGTACGGTTATTACCCATAATGCCTACTGTAAATACAGACTCATCCGATACAAGTACGGTTATTACCCATAATGCCTACTGTAAATCCAGACTCATCCGATACAAGTACGGTTATTACCCATAATGCCTACTGTAAATACAGACTCATCCGATACAAGTACGGTTATTACCCATAATGCCTACTGTAAATACAGACTCATCCGATACAAGTACGGTTATTACCCATAATGCCTACTGTAAATCCAGACTCATCCGATACAAGTTGTAAATCCAGACTCATCCGATACAAGTACGGTTATTACCCATAATGCCTACTGTAAATCCAGACTCATCCGATACAAGTACGGTTATTACCCATAATGCCTACTGTAAATCCAGACTCATCCGATACAAGTACGGTTATTACCCATAATGCCTACTGTAAATCCAGACTCATCCGATACAAGTACGGTTATTACCCATAATGCCTACTGTAAATCCAGACTCATCCGATACAAGTTGTAAATCCAGACTCATCCGATACAAGTACGGTTATTACCCATAATGCCTACTGTAAATACAGACTCATCCGATACAAGTACGGTTATTACCCATAATGCCTACTGTAAATCCAGACTCATCCGATAAAAGTATGGTTATTACCCATAATGCTTACTGTAAATACAGACTCATCCGATACAAGTACGGTTATTACCCATAATGCCTACTGTAAATCCAGACTCATCCGATACAAGTACGGTTATTACCCATAATGCTTACTGTAAATACAGACTCATCCGATACAAGTACCGTTATTACCCATAATGCCTACTGTAAATCCAGACTCATCCGATACAAGTACGGTTATTACCCATAATGCTTACTGTAAATACAGACTCATCCGATACAAGTACCGTTATTACCCATAATGCCTACTGTAAATCCAGACTCATCCGATACAAGTACGGTTATTACCCATAATGCCTACTGTTAATCCAGACTCATCCGATACAAGTACGGTTATTACCCATAATGCCTACTGTAAATCCAGACTCATCCGATACAAGTACGGTTATTACCCATAATGCTTACTGTAAATAGACTCATCCGATACAAGTACCGTTATTACCCATAATGCCTACTGTAAATCCAGACTCATCCGATACAAGTACGGTTATTACCCATAATGCTTACTGTAAATACAGACTCATCCGATACAAGTACCGTTATTACCCATAATGCCTACTGTAAATCCAGACTCATCCGATACAAGTACGGTTATTACCCATAATGCCTACTGTTAATCCAGACTCATCCGATACAAGTACGGTTATTACCCATAATGCCTACTGTAAATCCAGACTCATCCGATACAAGTACGGTTATTACCCATAATGCTTACTGTAAATACAGACTCATCCGATACAAATACGGTTATTACCCATAATGCCTACTGTTAATCCAGACTCATCCGATACAAGTACGGTTATTACCCATAATGCTTACTGTAAATACAGACTAATCCGATACAAGTACGGTTATTACCCATAATGCCTACTGTTAATCCAGACTCATCTGATACAAGTACGGTTATTACCCATAATGCTTACTGTAAAAACAGACTCATCCGATACAAGTACCGTTATTACCCATAATGCCTACTGTAAATCCAGACTCATCCGAGACAAGTACGGTTATTACCCATAATGCTTACTGTAAATACAGACTCATCCGATACAAGTACCGTTATTACCCATAATGCCTACTGTAAATCCAGACTCATCCGATACAAGTACGGTTATTACCCATAATGCTTACTGTAAATACAGACTCATCCGATACAAGTACCGTTATTACCCATAATGCCTACTGTAAATCCAGACTCATCCGATACAAGCACGGTTATTGCCCATAATGCTTACTGTAAATACAGACTCATCCGATACAAGTACCGTTATTACCCATAATGCCTACTGTAAATCCAGACTCATCCGATACAAGTACGGTTATTACCCATAATGCCTACTGTTAATCCAGACTCATCCGATACAAGTACGGTTATTACCCATAATGCTTACTGTAAATACAGACTCATCCGATACAAGTACCGTTATTACCCATAATGCCTACTGTAAATCCAGACTCATCCGATACAAGTACGGTTATTACCCATAATGCTTACTGTAAATACAGACTCATCCGATACAAGTACCGTTATTACCCATAATGCCTACTGTACATCCAGACTCATCCGATACAAGCACGGTTATTACCCATAATGCTTACTGTAAATACAGACTCATCCGATACAAGTACCGTTATTACCCATAATGCCTACTGTAAATCCAGACTCATCCGATACAAGTACGGTTATTACCCATAATGCCTACTGTTAATCCAGACTCATCCGATACAAGTACGGTTATTACCCATAATGCCTACTGTAAATCCAGACTCATCCGATACAAGTACGGTTATTACCCATAATGCCTACTGTTAATCCAGACTCATCCGATACAAGTACGGTTATTACCCATAATGCCTACTGTAAATCCAGACTCATCCGATACAAGTACGGTTATTACCCATAATGCTTACTGTAAATACAGACTCATCCGATACAAGTACGGTTATTACCCATAATGCCTACTGTTAATCCAGACTCATCCGATACAAGTACGGTTATTACCCATAATGCCTACTGTAAATCCAGACTCATCCGATACAAGTACGGTTATTACCCATAATGCCTACTGTAAATCCAGACTCATCCGAGACAAGTACGGTTATTACCCATAATGCCTACTGTAAATCCAGACTCATCCGATACAAGTACGGTTATTACCCATAATGCTTACTGTAAATACAGACTCATCCGATACAAGTACCGTTATTACCCATAATGCCTACTGTAAATCCAGACTCATCCGATACAAGTACGGTTATTACCCATAATGCTTACTATAAATACAGACTCATCCGAGACAAGTACGGTTATTACCCATAATGCTTACTATAAATACAGACTCATCTGATACAAGTACGGTTATTACCCATAATGCTTACTGTAAATACAGACTCATCCGATACAAGTACCGTTATTACCCATAATGCTTACTGTAAATCCAGACTCATCCGAGACAAGTACGGTTATTACCCATAATGCCTACTGTAAATCCAGACTCATCCGATACAAGTACGGTTATTACCCATAATGCTTACTGTAAATACAGACTCATCCGATACAAGTACCGTTATTACCCATAATGCCTACTGTAAATCCAGACTCATCCGAGACAAGTACGGTTATTACCCATAATGCTTACTATAAATACAGACTCATCCGATACAAGTACCGTTATTACCCATAATGCCTACTGTAAATCCAGACTCATCCGATACAAGTACGGTTATTAGCCATAATGCTTACTGTAAATACAGACTCATCCGATACAAGTACCGTTATTACCCATAATGCCTACTGTAAATCCAGACTCATCCGATACAAGTACGGTTATTACCCATAATGCTTACTGTAAATACAGACTCATCCGATACAAGTACCGTTATTACCCATAATGCCTACTGTAAATCCAGACTCATCCGATACAAGTACGGTTATTACCCATAATACCTACTGTTAATCCAGACTCATCCGATACAAGTACGGTTATTACCCATAATGCCTACTGTAAATACAGACTCATCCGATACAAGTACGGTTATTACCCATAATGCTTACTGTAAATACAGACTCATCCGATACAAGTACGGTTATTACCCATAATGCCTAGTGTTAATCCAGACTCATCCGATACAAGTACGGTTATTACCCATAATGCTTACTGTAAATATATGATCAGCCTGTTCTGCATGTGTTCAGGTTAGCCTGGTTCATACAGTAATGCGTTGTGTTCTTCTTCCTCAGCATGGAGCAGAAGACGGTCAAATGATGAGGTTTCAGCGCCACGGTCCCCTCGTCTCTTCAGATCAAACTATCTTTTCTGTTTAATGCAAATAAATAATCCTAGATGATCCGTTTTATGCTGTTTTCTGTCTCTGTTACACATGTATGAGATTTTAAGCCTTACAGTCCTGAAGGTTAAAGTTTGTATGTAATGTAGAAATATTTGATTAATTTATTTCCATTCATAATGAAATCAGTGTTTAAAAATTAATTATGGTTGAAAATAAAAAAAACCTAATAATGCTTTTGCTGTTTTTCACTGACTATCCTTCCATCATTCCTTCCATACATCCATCCAAGCGCGGGGGCCTCCGACCTCTAGGGGCCTCCAAGACCCCACTAACTGGGGCCTCATCCTTTCTTTTCTTTTCTTTTTTCTTTAAAATTAAATTAAAATAATTAATTAATGAGTGTGTTTGTGTGTATGTGTGTTAACAATAGGGTTGGGTATCGTTTGAATTTGAACGATTCCAATTCCGATTCCTTGTTTTGATTCCGGTTCCTAACGATTCTCGATTCCGATTCTTTTAAGAGGCGGGGTCAAAAAAGTTAAGGATATTTTAAATGAGCTAGCTAACCAACAGTCTTTCTAAAGGAAATAGTCTGACCTTCTCCGTCAATTTTAATTCTATGAACTTTTAACTTTTTATGAACTTTACTATGAATTTCTCACAGGGCTGTTTTCAACTACAATATAAATATCAAATCTATGAACTTGAATATAAATATTATAAATTATGAATATATTTTCACAGGGGTACACTTTCCTCAAGAGAGCTTTATTTTTGAAAACCTCATAAAAACACATTTACACATGAGTGTATGATGCTGCAGATACTTGAGCATGTTACCGTGCTCCCACTGAAGGGCTAACCTAGGGCTGTCAAAATTGCTCAAAAATGACGTTCGAATATTCCCTCTAAGAAACCACATATATTCGAACTATTCGAACATCTGGTTGCGCATTTTGTCAATGACGCGCATTACGTCAATAACAGGACAAATTAATACAAAGAGACATAACTACTTGTATAGGTAGTTTAAGTTTAAACATATTTGACAAAGTATTAACTTACACAAAAAAAAGTAAATCAACTAATGGCCAAGACCGCAGACCTCACTCTCGCTCAACCGCAGGCTCTCTCTCTCTCTCTCTCTCTCTCTCTCTCTCTCTCTCTCTCTCTCTCTCTCTCTCTCTCTCTCTCTCTCTCTCTCTCTCTCTCTCTCTCTCTCTCTCTCTCTCACTCTCTCTCGCCCTCACGCTCTCTGCGCATAACGGTTTAAATGAACAACAATAAACAAATGTTGAGTGCTGGATCAAGAGTTTTGTGCAAGCAATTTAAGGTCACGACTCTTGTCCTAAATATAGCAGGCTTCATTCAGTGATTGAAACAAATATTATTAACATTAATTGAAGTTTTACAGTATATATAACCGACATTGATCCCTCCGAGCGAGCTGTGGTAAACTGCTGCTATAATGGCTATTTTTTCGGGGGCGTCGGGCCACGCCCCCTTGGCGGGCTCTGACGTGTATGATGTAATGCTAGCTCATTGGCGCACACGTTGGAGGCGCCCGCACCATTGGATGTGCAGTTGCCGCAGCACAGCCAATAAGTGAGCCAGACACTCACAGTGCTAGCTGTGCAGCTGGAAAATGCGTTTTGCCACTCGTAAAGCAGACAGCCGCGCTTCTGCTATCGCGGGCGTGTCCGGTCGGCGGACTGTGAATCGAAACTAGGAATCGAAATTTAAACTTTTGAACGATTCCGAGAAAATCGAAAAGCTAGTCCCGGTTCCAATCGATACTCGATACCCAAGCCTAGTTAACAATAATTTATTTGCACACACAAAAGTATCATGATCAGTGTGTCGGCTGTGTCTGATGATGGCAATGAGTCGGCTTACTGCGGCACGACCGGCGGTAGAAGAGGGTGTGAAAGACAGAGTTGAGGACATCGAAAAAACAAACAACATGGATAAAAAACAGTGGAGCCACAAAACAGAAAGCTAAAAGGGAGAAGGATAGTGGAGAGGATTTAATTAGCCCTAATATTCCAAACATCTCCACTTTTTTCAAAAGTCGGCTCGACGCAAATAAAGAGTCTGGCGGCACTGGCGCCTGCGGTGATGCTAGCAAAGAGTTTAGCACAACATCCAGCCTTGCTATTTCAGATGAACCTGAGCATCAGCACCAGCACGACGAGACCGAGAACCCCAGCCCGGCTGGAGCGACAGACGCCTGTTCAAGTCCCCCACCCCCCGACTCCGCTTGAGACCCAAACCGGCTTCGGGAGCCGCTGAAGGCAGAGACCCGGCGGGGACGGGTAGGGTAACGTGCATTGCCAGTTTGCCAGCCTCAAAACGTAGATTGCCACCAGCTCTATCGAGACACTGCAAAGATAAAGGAGGCACTTGCACATATAGCCAGCTCAGATGAGGAGAACATGAAGCAGGGGTGCTGTGTTGAAATATCTCGAAACTGCATTTACGGCCTTTTTCTGGGATGCGATCCTTGACAGATAGCAAGCCACAAGCATAAGGCTACAAAAAAGTGACATCAACATTGCAACAGCGGTGAGTCTCATCGAGTCATTGCGTGTCGTTTCCCTAACGTGATCAGTTTGAGATGTATGAAAAGCAGCTCTGATGGAACAGGTGTGCTCCACTCCTACTAGTGTGACCTACAGCGAAGCAGAGGGAGCGAGCCTAAGGAAGATCCAAGACACCTACATGATGGGAGGAAGAAATCCAGAGAGACGCGTTGTATGTAGTCATAGACACACTGGTTAGCTGTCTTGGTCATCGCCTGTCTGTCTACAGGGAATGGACGCATATATTTGGAGTTTTGTTCCTGCCAGAAACAACGAGCAACAGTGAGGTCACAAAACAGGCGAAGCACTACCCTGCATATCCGTCAGCCCTAAACAGCAGCAGCCAATGAGCTCACACAGGACAGATCATTCATGTGTGAGCGAGACGAGTCCATCCATCCAAGCATCCATCCAAGCATCCATCCATCCATCCAACCATCCATCCATCCAACCATCCAACCATCCATCCAACCATCCATCCATCCAACCATCCATCCATCCATCCAACCATCCATCCATCCAACCATCCATCCAAGCATCCATCCATCCAACCATCCAACCATCCATCCATCCATCCAACCATCCATCCATCCAACCATCCATCCAAGCATCCATCCATCCAACCATCCAACCATCCATCCATCCAAGCATCCATCCAAGCATCCATCCATCCAACCATCCATCCATCCATCCAACCATCCAACCATCCATCCAACCATCCATCCATCCAACCATCCATCCATCCATCCAACCATCCATCCATCCAACCATCCATCCAACCATCCATCCATCCAACCATCCAACCATCCATCCATCCATCCATCCATCCATCCATCCATCCAACCATCCAACCATCCATCCATCCATCCATCCATCCAACCATCCATCCATCCAACCATCCATCCAACCATCCATCCATCCATCCAACCATCCATCCATCCATCCATCCATCCATCCAACCATCCAACCATCCATCCATCCAACCATCCATCCATCCATCCAACCATCCATCCATCCATCCATCCATCCGTCCATCCAACCAATCCATCCATCCATCCATCCATCCAACCATCCATCCAACCATCCATCCATCCATCCATCCAACCATCCATCCAACCAACCATCCATCCATCCATCCATCCATCCATCCATCCAACCATCCATCCATCCATCCATCCATCCAACCATCCATCCATCCATCCATCCATCCATCCATCCATCCATCCAACCATCCATCCATCCATCCATCCACTGATGATAACAGATTAAACTCATCTTGCATTGCATTACCATAAAAAGAGATATTTTAATGAAAGTATTTTCCAGTAAATAGATGGGTCCAGATCAATTTGATACAGAACATTTAATATTTGACAAACTAATACATTAACACTGATATAAAGTATGCAAATTATCAAAAGGTAAAACATTCAAAGCATACATAGAAAATAGTGACTTTTATTCAGTGCAAAAATCTACAGTAAACAAATCCTAGCTCCAGTTTCGGGCATGTGGTGTTAGTCCGGCCTCATCGCTGTCGTCTTCATGCCGGAGGAGCCGCTCTGTCCCTCCGCCTGTCACCTGCTAACTAGGAGTGAAAGAGTGATTGATCACAAGTCGTCGCCGGTGATGAAAAGAGTACTCTGCATCTCGTTCCCCAGGACAAACCCTTCATCCTCATCCTCCTGTGAACAACACAACCATCATTAAAAGAGGGTGCTTATCTCCAGTGTTAGGGTAACTCGTCACATCTGTGACTTGAGTTACGAAATCAAATTACTTTTTTCAAGTAAAGTTACGCGTTAAATTTACAGCAAAATATCTCAGCTAATTTTTCAAATAAGTAACGCAAGTTACTTTTTCACATGTATTGACTGACAGCTCTCCTGTCCTCATGTTGAGAGGGTCATGGGTAAGTGCAGAGGCGTTTTGTGTGTGTGTGTGTGTGTGTGTGTAAACATGATGGTTATTGTAGTTCTAGACTAAATGTGAGCGTGCATATACTCATCTCACTTGCACGAAAAAGATTCAGTGTTCCTCAAAATGAATCAAATCAGTGAAATGCAAAATCAGAATTGGTGAAGTAAGTGTTAAACTTTCCTCTCCTGCTATTACTCTGTGATCCACAGCTGAAGGTTTGTTTGTTTGCTACTGGACACGCGGGAATCTGAATTTCCTTCAGCCTTATTATTTCAATTTTGGTCTGGAAGGGCCTTTACGTTTGCCCAAAAATATAACTTTTTTTGTTAAAAAAAAACAAAAACAAGTCCAGCCCAGGGGACTCATTTATAACCGTTGCGTACGCACAAAACAGGCCCTGAAAGAGGCGTACGCCACTTCCGACGCATAAATTGTGATTTACAAAAACAAACTTGACGGAAAAATGTGCGCCCCTGCACGCAAACTCTGTCCCATGTGTAAACCAAGGAGCAGTTTGGCGACACCGATGGTGAGCTGGAGTTAAATGTCTTTTTGGTCACTTTTAGACAGAAAATCTAAAGAAAATTATACATAGGCTATACAGAAAGATAATACAAATATAATTTCACTCACCAAGCATATTACTTGAGGCAAATATTCATCCCTTCTTAAATGTCCGCGCCAGCGAGCGCGTTGGGCAGTTTAGTGAAACTAACGCCTATCTAACGACAGAGTCCTAATCATAAAAACAGTGCATGTTCACAATAACAGTTTAAATAAATAAAAGAATGATTTAAACTGTTTTACTTCTGATATAAACATTTAGATTAAATATGCCATTGTCATTGATGGAGTTAAACACTTAAACATGAAATCATTACTGAGAAGTTACAACATTTTTTATATTCAATAAATATAAATATTTGTTGTGGATGCAATGCTTTTGAACACTTTTGCTCTGGCATGCTGTGTTTTAATGTTTTAACTAAAGAGATAATTGCTTATAGCAGATTGTCTGAGAAAATAGTTTCGTGCAAATAATGCACAACAGTCTATCTGTTTCCATTAAAAATATAAATCAATAAAAAATACTATTTGGTCAGTGGAAAAGATTGTGAAAACTTTCTCTGAAATGTATTTTACAGTATTTGATTTATTTATTCAAAAACAAGGCAAGGATAGGCTACTAAATTATTTTTATTAATGTAGGCTAATGTGACGGCACATCCGTATTAGGCTATTTCATATTTTCCTAATGTCTATACCGTTAAACATGTTATCACATGGATGAATAATCATATGCAAATGATATGCAGATGAGGATATGCATAGTAAAACTAGGCGTTGCAATCTCCATATATGGTTATTTCGGGGAGGAGACGCGTGTGCGCACAATCTTCCGCTGACTGAGATTAATCAGGATTTATAAAGTGAATTCTGGCGTACGCACGGTTTTATAAATCTGAATATTTTTTTGCGTACGCCATTTTTGGCTTTCGGGCGCACGTACACTTTTAGTAAGGATCCTACGCACAGTTTTATAAATGAGGCCCTGGTGAGAAAAAGTAACGTAACGCATTGCTTTTCTTAAAAAGTAACTAAGTAACGCAATTTGTTACTTTTTAAGAGAGTAAAGGCCCTTGCACACTGTGTCCGAAACTCTCGTCCGTCATAAAAAAAATCAGATCGGGTTCGATTTTCTGCGTTTTTCGCATCCGTAATAAGCAGCTTGAATGGTGTTTGTACAATTCAGAGCCACCGAATCACAAATACAAAAAAATGCATACGAAAACTTCGGACTCAGTGTGCAAGGGCCTTAACGCAATATTGTAATGCATTACTCTTTAAAGTAACTTTCCCCAACACTGCTTATCCAGATAAAATAGTCTTAGCTGAATCATGGCTAAACGGCACTAAAGAGCGTTTACTCGCCTCATCCTTTTCCTTGTAGTTTTTCTCCGTGCCTCTGTACGATACCACATGGATGAGCGTGTAAACCCTGTAATGGAAGACAACAGGGCTTCAGTCTCAGGTCATCAAGCTCCACATGTATATAATGCTGGATTGGGTGGCGGTGCGTGACGAGTGTTGCACCTGTGGTAGAGCATCGCCAGGAACTGAACGATCAGCAGAATGGCGAAAGACAGCAGAAACATCAAACTCAACGGCTCCACCCTCATGGGGTCTGGGGCCAACGTGTTGTTCGGAAAGTACTTAGGAATCTCGATGCTCAGAACATCTCCGCCAATGGCCTGAAGGAAGAACGTCGCTACAACCCATAGGACGTTGATTATGAAGTACAAAAACACTGCCTGCTCACACACAAAAAGAGAATATTCACATTTAGCATATAACATTACGGGCCAGAAAAGATGAACTGTTAAGTTGCCAACCTTACCTTGTTTCGTAGAGACTTCAGCTCCCGTGTCACTTCGTCCAGATGAGCTTTGTCATCTTGAATGGGCTTGAGATAGCGCTCTAGCAGTTTATTCCAGAAATCGGTTTCATCCTGGTAACACAGGGAAACAGTTTTCTTTCCTTCATATGAAATTGTAGCACAAGCAAATTCATTACCAGTACTGATATGGCTCCATTTAAAAGTCCATCAGTTAATTTAGCCAAATGCATTGATAAACCACTGAAGCTTCACACTACATGATTCTTGTTAAGAAAAAAATAGGGGGGGAAACAAATAACTCCTGAGACAACACATTGTTCCCAAGTCTTATTAAAGATTTGTATAAAATGAACGAATCATTCATGATCGACCCATTTCTTCTGTTCGACGCGAGTAAAAGCACGAACACACTGGAGAGCCGCTTTATAGCAGAAACTGAAGCTGTGATTCGAACTGAAAGAGACTCTGACACTGTTTGTCATGTCTAATACTGTAAAGCTGCTGCTTTAACTCTATCTATTGTATAAAGTGCTGCATGAATAAATGTGACGCGACTGTAGATCTGAATCTCAGAGCTGGAGCAAACATCTCCACATCACTATGATCAGATGCTTTCTGAACCGCTGTTTCTTATTGTTATTGTGTGTTTATTCTGTTATTGAGAGGAAAGAGAAGCTCATATTTACATATTCATCTAAATGTGGGCGGAGTCATGATGTTCGCTAACAGAATTGTGGGTGGAGTCATGATGTTCATTACATAATTGTGGGCGGAGTCATGATGTTCGCTAACAGAATTGTGGGCGGAGTCATGATGTTCATTACATAATTGTGGGTGGAGTCATGATGTTCACTATATACTTGTGGGCGGAGTCATGATGTTCGCTAACAGAATTGTGGGCGGAGTCATGATGTTTACTACATAATTGTGGGTGGAGTCATGATGTTCACTACATAATTGTGGGCGGAGTCATAATGTTCAGTACATAATTGTGGGTGGAGTCATGATGTTCACTAACAGAATTGTGGGTGGAGTCATGATGTTTACTACATAATTGTGGGTGGAGTCATGATGTTCGCTTACAGAATTGTGGGCGGAGTCATGATGTTCAGTACATAATTGTGGGCGGAGTCATGATGTTCACTACATAATTGTGGGCGGAGCCATGATGTTCACTAACATAATTGTGGGCGAAGTCATAATGTTCAGTACATAATTGTGGGTGGAGTCATGATGTTTACTACATAATTGTGGGCGGAGTCAGGATGTTTGCTAACAGTATAATCGCTGGAAAGGTTTTTCAAACTTATTTTAAGCGAAGAGCAAAAGATAACTTTGCTGTGAGTATATCGGGGCCTTAAATCCTAACCATTCACTAAACCTCACCTCAGATAGTTTCTCAACCTGTGGCGCCACAAGCGTTCTCTCGATCCCCCTCTTGACGCGACGCTCCAGTCTCTGCGCCCCGTTCTCGATGCGGTTGGACTTCACGATGCGCCTGGCGGCTTCATTCAGAGCGTACTGCAGTTCCTCCAGCTGAGTCTCGGTCAACACATCCTCCGGACCCACTTTATCCCTCAGCTCATCATTCAGGGTGTCGGTGAGAATCGACACCAGTTCCTCGCACAGATCCTCCTGGTTCTTGTTCCTCAGCGTGTATCTGATCTGCTCCTGAAGGTTTCTCTTCAGATTTGCATAGGTCAGTTTCTTCAGGAACTCTCTCTTCACGGGCTCCACCCAATCTGTCCATCAGAATAATAATTTTTAATAATTATTCAACGCACAGACCAACTTTACACTCGTGAAACCCTGTGTTCAAGAAAAGGAAGATATCTTACCACTCTCAGGCACAAATTCCTTCGGCTCCAAATTATTGTAATCAAAATCATCATCATCATCATCGTCGTCGTCGTCATCGTCTGTGTAGTCTGTGTCATCGTTAAATTGGTCCAGTTTCTTCTCAATGCTTTTGGAACTCCCACTGTAAAAATAATTTTGAGAGACCATTTGTAAACCATTAAGAACTTTTCTTCTGCATTGCAATTGTAATCCAAACACATTTTCATATTCTTTACCTTCTCTCAGACTCCGAGTCTTTTTCCTTGTTGTCCTTGTTGAGATTCTCTTTGGATTTGTCCTTCTTATGGCTCATCTCCTGGTCGTAGTCCAGAATGTGTTTGTTGGCCTCTAAATGGCTCGGTTCTTCATTGGCGCTCTGAGCCGGCGGCTCGATGGGCTCGGGTTTGGCAGCTTGTGTTGGATTGACGGCTTGCTGCATTTGTTGAAGCAGTAGATTTTCGGTCTCTTGAGTGACTTGGATTTTCACATCCCAACAGCACATTTTGCAGTCGCGATTGCACACGACACCCACTTGCTTTTTATCCTCCTTGCCCTTGCTGGTTTCTCGAGTTCCCCAAGATACAATGTGCATGTTGACTAGGGAGTATATGGTGAGTAGGAGATAGCCACTGGGAATGCAGATGAAGTACATCAGACCGTAGATGATCAGAGTGCTCTCTTGAGGGTGCAGGATGGCTGTCACCAAGTACATGATCGCACCGGACACCAGGAAGAGTCCAGTAGGAGTTATAAATGTTTGTTGTATAACCATGTCACCTAAAGTAAGAAATCCAATGACATGGAATGTCACAAAGCACATTTTTAACACAATTCAAATGCAAAGAAAAAACGATAACAATAATTACCAATAATGGAAAAGAAGGACGCAGTCATCAGGAAGGCATATATCACACTTAGAATGGCAGCAATTGTGATTTGGAAGTTGGGTTTGGCCAAAAAACATATGATCATGTAAATTGTTGGAGGTATAACCGCAATTATTATGGAAAGAGTGCCTGAAAGTTTAAACACAAATTGGAATGCTCCTAAAATGGAAAAAGAGAAAATTAGCAGACTTTGTACTCACTTTTCATACTTTTATATATTCACAGAAACATATTTTCAATATGCGTATCATTAAATAATCATCCACTCCTGCTCCTGGACAATTCAGCTCCAACCCCAATTAAACACACCTGAACCTGCTAATCAAGGTCTCACAAGGCAGACTAGAAACGTCTTGGCTGGTGTTTTGAGGCAAGTTGAAGAAAAACTCTTCTGCAGGACCGAGTTTGGACACCCCATCATAGAATCTTGATGATTCTTTATATATTTTTAAAGTTACTTTGCTGGGGCTAAAAAACAGGTCATACCAGCCTAGGAAGGTCAGATGGTTAACCAGCTCAACCAAGTCTCTACCAGATTAGGTAATACACCAAATATACAGGTTGACCAAATGGTCTACAACATGGTTCCTGAAATCCAGGCCTGGAGGGCCACCATCCGAAAGAATTTAGCTCAAACCATGATCAAACACTGATGCAATTTTCTATTAACTCTGAAGACCTTGACTAACTTGTTCAGGTGTGACTGATCAGGGCTGGATCCCTGAAATCCCTTTCCTTATTTTTCACCAAGTCTTTGAAAATGTACCTGCAATCATGAGGGTAACAGATGCAGGTCCCAGAATGGAGGAAGCCACGGTGAAAATCTGATACAAGATGTAGAGCATGGATATGGAGGTGTTCCTCTTGACCGTTTCTGCCCCGCTGTGGAGCAGATCGAGAGTGTTGGCCAGTGTCGAAGGACCCCATCGACGTCTCTGGTTGTAAAACTCTTTGAACTCTTGGGGAGAGTTGGTGTAAGCGTCCGAGGCGGCGTTATACTCCACACGCCAGCCCTGCTGCAGGAGAAGAGTGCACAGCCAACGGTCCTCACCTAAACGTGAGCGGTTCAGTAAGATGATGAGGACTTAAAGGAAGCTGACTGTACACATTCACACAGAACGATCTGAACAGAAGAACCATATGCAATAAGCCTGGCTAATTGTCTACTATACTGGGCTTTGTTTCCTAAAAGTATCGCATGCCTAAGTTGATCGAAGAACAATTGCCACCAATGGTCTTTATAATCAACTTAGGCTTACAATGCTTTTGGGAAAAGGGGGGGGGGGTAGTAGGGATAGGGATTTACCTTGATCGTACTGCACATACTCAGAGGCTCGGGTGGCTTTGGTGGTGTATCGTTTCAGGACGTTGTCGTCCATCAGCGCAGATCCTCTGAACAGACTGAAACAGCCTGGACTGCACAGAACTGACCCAAACACGTGCTCTGCTGTCTTCTGAAGCCAGTGACCCACTGCATACTCGAACTTCTGATACCACACCATTGGGCCTGAAACATCACATTCACAGGGCCAAAGAACACGAATCGCTGTTTTGAACAATGGACTGTAGTGTGCATAACTGCATTTGAGCAGTTTTTTTTCCAGGCAAGTCTTTCTGATAGCTGAGCAATGTTATCGCATTGTAAATGGTGGTTGTCATGTTTTGTTAAGATTAGCTATCTTTTCGATGGATCTTTCCAGCATGCATGGTGTGGTGCGACGTTTCTATAAAACTGCAATAATTACCGGGAAGGGTTTATGTCAATGGACTTTGTATATTGATCAGTATTTGAATTGCAGGTCAATAAAAGGGCACGTCATTATCTGCTATATAATCCAGTGCTGCTGCTTCTTTCATCCTTTATGCCATATACAGTCTTTTGTCAGTTCTATGTAATACTGTTATGTAATTCAAAGATGTGTTTTTAACATACTACTTTCCAAATTAGCAAAGCTTTTTTCAAAATAGGACAAAAACTGTTCAGTTCTCTCATTTTCTGTCTGAACACTTGGGGTGTAACGGTACGGACGTCACGGTTCGGTGCAAACAGTCAGACGACGAATACAGTCAGAATTTCAGATTTAGAAGCCACTTTTTTTCCTTCTCGCTCATCTTTCCGTGATTTCTTGAAAAAGCGTCAAATTGAATGTGCATCCGGCATAGTCACCGCATGTTAATGAACTCTCACGGGCAAAGAAAATTACAGCGTAGGCAATGAGGAATCAAATCATTAGCCCTACAAAAAAATAAGCTATGCAAGAGTGCATTCTGTTTACTGCCCAGTGCTTAATACACTAAAGGAGGCTGTACTGGACCAACTAGAGGACTGAATGCCGCTAGGTGGATTAATTTGCACTACTGTCTGTTCAAAATAAATGAAAAGGAACCTAGCATTGGGGATTTGTTGCTTTTCCTGTTGTACCGAACTCGTATCGAACCGTGACCCCAAACCCGAGGTACGTACCGAACCGTGACTTCTGTGTACCGTTATTGCTGAACACTGATGACTTTTACCCATTCCAGTGGGGTGGATCCGTCCACACGCTGCACCCACGGTGTCATACATTCTCAGACGGTCGACAAGCAGTATCAGAGCGCCGGGCTGGAAGTCTGTGTCTCCATCCAAAGCCATGATATACGTGTTGTCATCAGATATATGCTTCCTCTTGCTGTCATTATCATGAGAAGGTAGTAAATAAGTCTCACTATCTAATGATATGAGACTGGCACGGCATGGGTTGTTTTGTCTCTGTAAGAACACAGTGTCAGAAAACAGAAAGTTATATTCAGCCGTATGTGGTTACCATGATGTCTAGGGGTTGCAAAGCTTTTCTGGGTCTCGACATGGCTGCTCAAGTCAAAAGAGTTCGTCCTTGTGTCTCTGGTCTCTAGATATGGCTTGGCTCCTTCAATGCAAGTGTGTGAGACCTTTTAACGTAAATCTAATCAGCTGTATGGTTTATGCATGCGGCACAGAAAGTTTAGGGTTAGGGGGTTGTTTGAATCCCTAAACCAACATATGAGCAATAGAGTAATAGTGAAGCTTGACTTATCAAACATCACCGGTGACTGAATGATCAATGAAAACTTACTGTTATTTTCTGAGGGTTTTTGACATTGTATCCTTTCCAACCAAGCAGGTAATACAGGTACATGATCTGAAAATGCACATGCGTTCAGTCAGGTTCAGGTAAGCATTAAAAGACTGAATTATTCTTCATATTAAGGAATAAGGCTTTGACGTTCACCTGTGACCATCTCTTTTTATTTCGAATCAGAGCTTTGTCCTTCAGGTGGACATAAAGCATGTTTCCCTCCGGCATGACAAACACAAGACGACCACCGTAAGGCGTTTCAATGATAGAAACCTCATCGGGCTCCTTATTTGTAAATACCCTTAAAGGCAAAAACAGTGAAATTCGGTTTACATTTGGTTGTGAAATATCAATAACATGAATCTGCCCAAATGAGTCACATACCATAAGCTGATAACGGATAGGAAACTTTGCCCTACCTGTACACCTCCATGACAACACTTATAAGATCGGAAACATATGAGTTGACAAGCTTTTTCTCAGTGCCAGTTTCTTTGTCTTTTTCTATCATGAAGGCATCGTCGACATAAATATGGCACTCAAAGTCAAAGACATCCTTGTGTTCCTCCTTTGGATCCCCTCTGTATCTGTCCAATCTGAAACCAACAAACAAGGGATATGAATAAAGAACAGCAGCCGACTGCTTGAAAGTTAAGAAAATCCTTAGTGATAATATATATACCAAGGACCAACTAGGTTTCTCTTTGCTTAAGGGGGTTTGAGCTGCAATACATTTACATTGCTCATCCATCACAGTATAAATACCTGAACATTGAAGTCAAGATTTTCAGCATCTCGTCATATGTTTCATGCCACATTGTTGCACAAAGGTAAATGACACAGTTTTCCACTTCAATGTCACTACTGCATGACAGAAAGGAAACAGATTGACTCGATTAATGCACTTGTACTGTATTACGTGTATCGTATACATCATGATTTTGTCTGAATGTATGTACCTCTCCTTGTTTGCTGTACGAATGACTTTCATTTTTGTGTTCAGCAGCATAGAGAGGTCAATGAAGGCGGATTCATACAGGCGGCGTACGAAAAGCTGAGAGGTGCGTTCAATTCTCTGCACTTTTATTTTCCACACGTAATACGTGCATGCGATGAGCCCGAGCCACATGCAGACCCCCTCCAGCGCCAGCATGGAGAAAGGCCACATGGCGTACGGATTGTTGAGTGACGTTCTGCAGATACTGTAGGAAATCTCCAGAATTACAACCGGGGTGGTATTGATGCCCTTGATATTTTCAAGTTCATAGCAAAAGGGCCAGAACGGAGAGGAAATGACTTGTGTAGAATTGTTACTGCCAGTAATTATGTCCATGGGAGATGCAATTGCAGGTGGAGGGACTAGATGTTCAGCTTGCGTCAAGAAAAGCGTAATGCCCAGAATTAGTGTTACTGGACCGATTAATGACACAGGCAGGGCGAAACCATATCTCACGGCGTGGATCTTGCAAGCCACAACTCCAAACCAGTGGCACGCAGCCGAGCAGAACGCCTGCAGGAAAAACAGCCCGAGGCCTATCTCTATCGTGCCTTTACTGGCTTTGGTGTACGCATCCCAGTCGATGGGAGTGTCAGCAATCAAGCAGAAATACAGAAAGTACACCCCCAGAGTCACGACTATTCGAAGGAGGCTGGTGTACAGATACACGGAGTCTCTGAAAGAGTCCAAATCCTTGAGCATCTCCTGAATGTTAGTGCTGGCCTGAAACGGGTTCTCCCACCAGTTCAGAGAAACCAACACCGAGGCAAAAATCGCAATGCCGACATATACGTAACAATACTCTATTTGTCCAATGGTGTATGTGGATTCTCTCACGTAGTAGTCGATCCCCAGTAGAGTGTAACCGCTGAGCACTAGGATGAGGGAGCATATGGGGTAGATGATCATCCAGTTTCTTGTCTGCAAGCGGAAGGCGATCTGGAGCATGGATGAAAAGATGCAGATCCCTCCAGGAATGCAGAGGTTTGTGAGGATATCAAGCTTAGGCATCACAATGAGCACCAGCACTGCCGTCCCGACCGCCACCAGACTCTCAATCCCACACATCTGCAGAAGCATTACAGCACATTTCAACTTCCAGTGCACTCAAAGTATACATATCATCAGTTCATGCATGTTTGAGCTACAGCGACTACTCGTCTGCCATCAAGTCGTCATTGTTCTCTACTAGCACGAGCATGTCCTTCGCTAAACGATTGTCTGGCATGTCTAACCTGGAGGAAAATCCAAATAAAATCAGCTTTTGATGGTCGCCGGTTTTGCATAGCTGCTCAAAGCTGGTCTTTTATGGTTTGTAGTTGGTCCAATCTGTGGTTGATTAGCTGGATCTACGGAGGTCTTGGTGCATGTTCAACTGGGTTAGGGAATGAAGACCACCTTGGCAACTGGATAGATTAAGATGGTCGACTAGTAGATTAGCTCTCATTTTAGCTTTAATATTTTTAGTGGAGGTGCTTTAAAGCAGGCGTCACCAGTCCTTCTCCTGGAGAGCTACAACCCTGATTAAACACAAGCGAATCAAGGCCTTCAGGGTTACAACAAGCTGAGGAAAGTAGATGTGCCTTTGATTTTACTCACACCCAGTTTCGCACCCAAGCTGCTTCACGTTTGATTTGGATTCGACGGAAAGCTGGGATATCTGAGAGAGTACGTTTTTCCATCTACTTATGTCAACTAGTTTAATGCATGTAAACCAATTGGTGGGTCTTGTTCATGATCGCATAGACAGCACAAAAGGCTAGACATTTTTACCTCAAGAAGCCCCTTAAGAAAGGCGTCTGATGAACATGAACCAGCATAATTATACAGCGCTTTCTTAAGGTGGGCTAGCGGTTAGTGAACCATTGGACTTATTCATTACTTTTCTTACAAAATTTGCCATAAAAGTATTTGAAGTTCATGTTAATTTGCATCACGTCAACTCACAATTCCCAGAATCTTTGGTTTCGGGGCCACATAGCTCTTGAAGACACACTTCCACAGAGACTTCAGGAACATCAGGAAGTTTGGCATCACCAGGACACACATCAACAGCAGCGTGTACATCTGCTGCTCCACATCGCTTCTCAAAGACTTCGGACTGGACAGAGTGGTCAGAACCAGCAGAGAGCCCTGCAACACAGACGAACAGCCTTGACATCAATGCACTGGACCACAACACACAGAGTCATGTCTGTGAACCCGACGCATGTCAATATGAATCATTCCTAGCATGTTGTGTGGTCGTTAAAATGTCAGCAACTGCAAAAAGAAACAAATTATTCTTTGTTTTTGGTCACACTTTAACTACTATGTGCTAACATGAACATGAAGAATTTTCGGGCTATTCATGTTTTTACTGTTATACGGTAGGGGGTTAAATATAGACTTAAATATCAACAAGACTATGTATTTACTGTGTAAAATTCCCACATTTACTGCCACTGAGTTTGAGGTATGGTTTAGGATCCAGGGTCAGGATTAGGATTAGGGGTGAGAGTTAGGTTTTAGGGTAAGGTCAGGTGTAAAGTTAACACTGTAACTACAAATTGGTAAATAAATGCAAGTACTGTTAATGTAGTAAATAGTATCGATTAGGTAAGCAGTTAAGCACACCTAATGTAAAGTGTGACCATTTTTTTCTCTGAAAAATAACCTTTAGAAAAATGCTTTTAAACTGCACACGTTGTTTGAGATCTGCTTTCCCTTCATGCACTGTTAAGATTTCCTTTCACATTAGGTTATATTGTGTGTTTTTAACACTGGTTTACATGGTGTTTGCCCAATCTGTCTTCAGCAAGTCTTTCCTGGTCATTGAACTTTTAAGACTGTTTCACAACAACATTACAGAACTAAATAAATATGATCACAATAACTCAACAATAAAATATCTCAATAACTCAGCGATTCTGTGCATGCAAACCATAACCGTAAGCATGACGGGTCCAGAACCCTAACCCTAACGTGCGAGACGTCACCATGGAGACGGCGCTCAGTAAACAGGGATGGGTGCTGCTGTTATCCTCTATAAATGTTTATGGTCATGTAACAGTTATGATTCACCTTGCTCACGACGCCGCTGACCAGCACCAGCAGGGCCACGACCACAGCCACCAGGTTCTGCAGAATCCGGAAGCATGTTCTCTTCTGCTCTTTCTCGGCTCCGATCGGGTTCAGCTGGAACGGGTCCCAGGTGTCTCTGTGCAGACGTAAGACAGAAGACCACCGTCAGACAGAGGAACTCGTGAGAGGTGCAACAGTGCTAAATGCAAACAATGCATTTCTTCAGGTCGGTCACCCTGAAATGTGCTTTATGGGAGTAAAGTGTTTTTGTTCCAAAAATCTGAAGATTGTGCAAAAATTGTACCTTTTACCCTTATCACTGGGGCAAAATCTTTAAAAAGGACATCTTTGAACCTTATTTAACCCTAAAAGGTTCATAGTACCCTAAGATACGTATTGCTACTCAGTTTATGAAACGACCTCTCATTACTCACTTTTTGCCACATTTGCCAATGGCCGGTAACTTAAGAAAATTTACAGAAACATTTTTTTACCAGCCATGAAAAATAGATGAATCCATTATTAAAGTTACAAAAGTTATTCAGTCAAGAGCAGTGCCGTCACTTTAAGAGCGAATGCACGGATCCGATATACTGATACACATGACATGCGTTTTATTTATCAACTGTTTACATTCACTTAAGACATAACCAACTATTTTTACAGGGATACTTGAGAAGACGGGCATTCTGACGTCATTTTCTTTGAATATGTCGGTTCAAGCGCAAGAAGACGTGAAAGAGAGCTCTAATTAATATATATATATATGGGGTGCGGGGAAAAATCGATTCATATATGAATCACGATTCTATCTTCTACCGATTTTTATAAATTCACAAATTTCAAAAATCGATTTTGTAAAGTGCTACACTTCTTTAACTTCGCAGTACTACTTACAGTTACTTACAGTTATTGACGTCAATCACAATAAGCTGCGAACGAGGACTCAATGCGGTGTCGTGCTGACGGACACACAGATGAGCCTCTCAGTTCTTTCACAGCCACACACACGATTGTGTCAGAATGAAAATCGTGTGGAGTATTCAATGTAAACAGAGTCTGTTATATCCTACCCGAACAATGTTTAATAATATTGGGTTTGACTAAAATGGGAAGAAAAACTAAATAAATTTCAAGGTTCACATTTAATTCAGTAGGATTTTTATTTCCTTCTAGACCAATTAAACTGCAGTCAAATAAGAAAAGTAACACAAAACATTAAACTACAATTAAATCTATGCACACATTGAATTGAAATTTGATTCAAAATCAAGAATCGATTTAAATCGAATCGTAATGTACCAAAAAGATTCACACCCCTAATATTTTTATATATATATATATATATGTTTTTTTTTTTCTAAAATGCAACTTTTACATTCAATATATATATAGGAAGCAGTTTTGATAATTTTAGAGGTAATGGCCTACTGTAAGGTTTATATACATCAATAATATCCTAAATATACAGTAACAGTAACCCCCCCCCCCCCCCCCCCCAAAAAAAAACGCATTTATACCAAACCACAAAAAGATAGAGTAATGTTACTAATGCCATATTACACCAATATTATTACTTAGTAGTATAGGCTATATGCGCACTTGTTTTCTTTTTCGCAAAGCCAATACGTTTTCAAATATATATATAAACTTTAATCCAGCAATAAGCATCTTTCTCAAGACTGTTGCTAAAGTCTTTTGTGTTTATGTATGTATAATTGAAGTATTTTAAATATTAAACGAAATCAGTCAATAAAAATAATATACTTCAGCTGTTGTGTGAATGTGTTACATCGCGTTTCTATTTTAAATAAAAGCACATCTTCACGTTTAAGAACAATTCAACTTATTTCACCTCAATAATGAGATGAAAGCATTGAGCTGTGCTTTTAAACTCAGGATTGATTGTATTGGTTGTTGATGGCGAGTGTTTTACCTGTGTCGCCCTTCTCTCTTATGTCTCCTCTGCTTCAGTTCCTCCATCTTTGAGCTCTGTGTCTCTCACTCCATTCACCAGCGCACAGGAATGAGACTCACTGATGGACAGAAGACTTAAATCTCACTGTGAGTAATGCCTGCAATCTCAACCAGCTCAGGGTCATAAAAGAGTCCAAAGATCTGCGAGCTTCATCCTTATTACAGCCCTGATCGGAAAACATATTTATGACCTGGACCAAAGTTCAGTCATACGCTTAACATCATCATAATATTACATGAGACTCTCAAGGAACTATTTAATCAGCCATTTCTCAGTCTTTTGAAACTCTCATTACAAAACTGCATTTATCAGGAACAGGATTTACACACACACACACACACACACCAATTTAATATGGAAAATACCATATGACTACTGAGTAATAGACTGAATCCTCATTGAAGACTGTCTTGAAGTTATCTCATACACACTGGGCCGAATCCAAGGGTGGAGAAGATGAGCTGAGTTTTATAACTAATACGATCTGACGCACAACACTTTATCACACAGCGAACAGATAAAGATGTCCTCTGATAAACACACAGCTGTATATTTACATCAGTTATATAATCATCATGATATCTCAGCTGTGTGTCTCCTGTGTGATACTAACATTATTAGTCCTAATGGAGAGTTGGGATCAGGAACGCTGGGGTAAATCACGGATGAGGGTCAGATGACTGTGTGTGTGTGTGTGTGTGTGTGTGTGTGTGTGACTCTCCTCCACCCTGAAACTGAAGCATGAATAAACCCAGAACTTCCTGGATGTTGGTGTTCACTCACAGATCAGCTGATTCTCCTTCTTAAGCTGCGTTCACACTACAAGCGACAAAGCGACACGATACCATTCATTTCAATGGGGAGCGGGCGGTTTCCGGCGACAGGAGGGGGCGTGTCCAGCGACGCGACAAAGTTGAGATCTGTTCAACTTTATGCAAATGAAGAGCGACTTTCGGGAGCGACAACCAATAGGAGTGAAGTCAGTGGAGTCACGTGATCTGTCACTCTTCAGTGCCGAGTCCGACCGAGGCAAGTGAACGAGAAGCTCATTTTAGCAGTCAGAAACAGTCCTATAGTTAATGATATATCTCCGTGTACATACAGTGGTACTCGTCATGCTGACTCCGAGACTGAAGGGTTTTGTGACTTATAAAGACCTCAGAGAAGTGTTTCAACTTGTGTAAAAGTTAAACATGATGATGATGAGATGCATCAATGTAACTACACAACATCTCCACAAACAATTCAGAAACGTCCAGGTGCGTCTCTTCCTGAGTCTCTCCGTAAGGCTGCACTCGCTACTGTGTGCAATCTTGCCTGTCTGGGGTTGAGTCGTTTGGCATCTCGGGGATATTGGAGATTCTTGTGATTGGTGAGTACTGTAAACGTCTCCTTGGCACCCTCCAACCAGCGTCTCCACTCCTCCAATGCGAGCTTGATGGCATGTAGTTCTCTGTTACCGATATCATTATTAATCTCCACAGGGATAATTTCTTAGAAAAGAAGGCGCATGGATGGAGATGTGCTGGTTTCCCTGCTGCTGAGACAACACCGCTCTGCCCCGGCGGTGGATGCGTCGACCTCGGCGACGAACGGCTTGTTGGGGTCTGGGTGGATCAGGAGCGGTGCACTGGTGAAGGATTCTTTGAGGCTTTGGAAAGCCTGAGTGGCGGCTGAAATCCAGGACAGAGACTTGGGCTTGTTTTTAAGGAGGTTGGTTAATGGAGAGGTGATAGGGGTGTAAATTGTGAATGAACCGGCGATAAAAGTTTGCGAATCCAAGGAAACGTTGGAGTTCTTTGATGGAGGAAGGGGTTGGCCAGTTCCGAACCGCATTCACCTTCCCCTCGTCCGTCTGTAAGTCAGTGTTCACTGATGTTATAACCGAGAAACTGCACGGTAGGCTGATGGAAAGAGCATTTCTCGGCCTTCAGGAAGGGTTGGTGTTCTCTGAGGCGTTAGAGGACTTCCGCAACGTGTTGGCTCCGGGAACAGATCAGAATATCATCAATGTAGACGATCACAGTTCGATGGAAGAATTCCCGGAGCAATGAAGCCCTGCAATATGGAGGGGGTGTTTACCAAACCGTATGGCATGACGAGGTATTCATAGTGACCAGTAGGGGCCAAAAAGGCTGTCTTCCATTCGTCCCCCTAACGTATCCGGATGAGGTTATACGCGCTGCGGAGGTCCAACTTGGTGAACACGGCTGCTCCACAAAGTTGTTCAAGGGCTGGTGGGACGAGAGGAAGTGGGTGTCGGAGCTTGACGGTGATGTTGTTGAGTGCTCTGTAATCAGTGCAGGGCCGCAAGCCTCCGTCCTTCTTTGCCAAAAAGAAAAAGCTCAAAGCAGCAGGAGAAGTGGAAGGGCTCCCTGTTGGAGAGCCTCTTCAATGTACTCCTCCATGGCCTTCTGTTCTGGAAGAGATAAGGGGTATATTTTTTTCCGTGGGGAACTGGCTCGTCCGGAAGGTAGATGGGGCAGTCCCATGGCCGGTGTGGAGGCAACGACGACGCCCGTTTGGGACAGAACACGTCACTGAAGTGGGCGTAGCAGACTGGAATGCCGATAGACTGCGGTTCTACACGGCTCTCGGTGGAGTTGGAAGGGGAATCACAGGTTGAGGAAGATGTGGAAAGCAACCTGGAAAGCCGCTATCGCCCCACACAGGACTTCTCCCGTTATCCAGGAGAGAATGGGATCGGGTTGCACTAACCACAGGCACCCTAAGATGATACCAGCGGTGAAATTCTCCAGAACCAGGAAGGAGATGGATTCGGTGTGTAACTATCCCACTTGCATTTGGTACCAAGGAGAATCGCATAATATTGAGTAGAAAATCACAGGCTGAAGTGTGAAATCCATGGCTAAGTGTTGACATTTAATCTTTGGATAGCTAATGGACACAAAACACACGTTAGTCATTTTTGATTGCATCTCCTCAACAGTAAAAAAAAAAAAGAAAAACATAACTTCTTATAAGCAGTTATGCACGCTGTGTAGTTTTATCTGTGTTTATGAACTTATAAACTCGTGCATCGACACTCATACTTATACTGGATTATAAGGCCAATAAAACATCAAGTTATGTATCACTGATATATGCACTTCTTCTTAGAGTTTGTTTCCATGGAGACTCCTGGATTTTGCACTGTTGAGAAAGTCTTTCTGCTTCTAAACTCCAAGCCGAGCTTCTGAAAGCCATAATAACTACAAGTAAAAATCTCTGGTTTATTCACCCAAAGGTTAATCAGAGACTAACATCCACACAAGGACACACTTCCTGCACACTGTGATTGACAGCTGTTTGTTGTGTTATTTTGGGCTCTACTCTAATAATCTATTGTATGACACAAATGAAAAAATACTATATATATATGTGTATATGTATATTCAACATTCAAATTGAATTTTATGTTATCAAACCCTCTTGTCCTTCTCTGCTAATATCTCTACTGCTAAAATGACTTACTATCACAACAAAATTAAAAATTCTTCTGACACTCACATGTTTTTCAAAACCTTCTCCTCTCTTCTCAACCCTAACAGCTTATGATTTGCCACATTATTCATAAATAAAACAACCACCATCAGCGGAAATTTTACCACACCACAAACTGACACACACATCTTACCAGCTAACACACACATTCTACCCTCCTTCTCTCTGCTCTCAGAACACTGGTACCTTTCCCACAGCCATTAAACAGGCTCGGGTAACCCCACTGCTTAAGAAACCCACTCTAAATCCAGCACATCAGGAAAATTACAGATCGGTATCCCTTCTTCCATTCGTCGTGAAAACACTTGAACGAGTTGTTTTCAACCAGATCTCTGCCTTTCTTACACAAAACAACCTCCTGGACAACAACCAGTCTGATTTCAAAAGCGGACACTCAACTGAGACTGCCCTGCTCTCAGTAATTGAAGCTCTGAGACTGCCAGGAGCAGCTTCCAAATCCTCAGTTCTCATCCTGCTGGATCTGCTGCCTTTGACACAGTTAACCACCAGATCCTCCTGTCAATCCTAAAGATGAAGGGCATCTCGAGAACCGCACTCCAATGGTTCAGGTCTGACCTCGGTCCTGTCATGGAGGGGTGAGGTGTCTAAGACCCCTCTTCTCCATCTGAGTGTCATCACTAGGATCTGTCATTCAGAAACATGTTTTTTCCCATCACTGCTATCATTTAGTTACTGGAGTGCCTCAGGGCTCAGTGCTGGGACCGCTTCTCTTCTCCATCTGAGTGTCATCACTGGGATCTGTCACTCAGAAACATGGTTTTCCCATCACTGTTATCATCTAGCTACTGGAGTGCCTCAGGGCTCAGTGCTGGGACCGCTTCTCTTCTCCATCTACATGTCATCACTAGGATCTGTCATTCAGAAACATGGTTTATCCCATCACTGCTATCATCTAGCTACTGGAGTGCCTCAGGGCTCAGTGCTGGGACCGCTTCTCTTCTCCATCTACATGTCATCACTAGGATCTGTCATTCAGAAACATGTTTTCTCCCATCACTGTTATCATCTAGCTACTGGAGTGCCTCAGGGCTCAGTGCTGGGACCGCTTCTCTTCTCCATCTACGTGTCATCACTAGGATCTCTCATTCAGAAACATATTTTTTCCAATCACTGTTATCATCTAGCTACTGGAGTGCCTTAAAGGCTCAGTGCTGGGACCACTTCTCTTCCCCATCTACATGCCATCACTGGGATCTGTCACTCAGAAACATGGTTTATCCCATCACTGTTATCATCTAGCTACTGGAGTGCCTCAGGGCTCAGTGCTGGGACCGCTTCTCTTCTCCATCTGAGTGTCATCACTAGGATCTGTCATTCAGAAACATGGTTTTCCCATCACTGTTATCATCTAGCTACTGGAGTGCCTCAGGGCTCAGTGCTGGGACCGCTTCTCTTCTCCATCTACATGTCATCACTAGGATCTGTCATTCAGAAACATGGTTTCTCCCATCACTGTTATCATCTAGCTACTGGAGTGCCTCAGGGCTCAGTGCTGGGACCGCTTCTCTTCTCCATCTACATGTCATCACTAGGATCTGTCATTCAGAAACATGGTTTATCCCATCACTGTTATCATCTAGCTACTGGAGTGCCTCAGCTCAGTGCTGGGA